CGTTTGTTGTTTATTATATTATTTATCATTTAAATTTTAAACATTTTTGATTAGTTTAAATTTAAACGCATTTACTTAAATTGTAATGTAAGATAATTAATTAATAAGAATGCCTTTTCTATGCAATACAAGGTTTATTATGTGATTCACTTACTCAATAAGTCAAAGAACATGTCAAAAGAACATTTGAATCAGCAATAAATACAACTAAAAAAATGTTAATGATGTTATTGACTAGATTGTCTTCTGAACAAGTCTTTCGAAGTTTGAAGTGGAAATCTTTAAATTAAAAAATTATATTGGGATCAAATGTTCCGCTTAAAACTGAAGCAACCTTATCAGCAGATTTAAAAAACAAACTTCAACATTTGGTTGGTTGTCTTCATTTTCGAGAAATTACGCCAAAAAAAACCCTCAATGATGCATGTACACCATTCGTTGAATTATTATAATTATTAGCGAACAATTATTTTATGTTTATAAGTTACTATCGTATATTTAATATAATAATTTATTCAAATGTTTTCTTTCTGGTCCAATAAATAAACAGGGTTTGACCTTACTTCATAGACTAAGCCAATCAGGACAATTAGCTAAAGATGATTAGCTGTTATCTTAGTAGTTATGTTACAATTATTATTCTCATAAATTTTCATTATGCGTAGAATAATGAAATATGATTAATTTTAAACTATTTTATATCATATTTGATGTTTTTTTAAAATATCAAATCATCGAAACACGGAACACATCTGGCAAACCAGACTAACTCACGTAATTAATTAATTGATTAATTAATTAATCAATTTGTTAATTAATATCAACCCCCTCAGATTAACTCAAACACCTTGCTTGATAATTTCTTATTGTATTTATATATATTCGACAATATTCGGTAGCAATTTTATTTCTCTTGCAAGTGGTGCAGCGGTGAGAGGCGTTGGCAGTGCGTCGTAATGACCGGGTTCAAATGCAAAAAGATCTTCACGTACCTATCATACTCAAAACTCAACTTAGATGATGCGGTGACCCATGTGTACTTACGTAAGCTATGCAAACCGCTGATGAATCTGACTAATGCATTAGGAGAGAAAACCACCACAATTTCAATTTATAGCATAATTAGGTTCCCAGAAATCTGAAAGGCCGCCAGACGTCAAGTTTAATCGCAAGTATGGTTTAAGGTGTGGCATTCAATGTTATTATTATTATTATTAAAATTTTTATTCATACTATAGTCGTTAATTTGTTTTACTTACTAATAATAATTAATCATAAACAACAATTCTTACATAAAATTAACATAAATTAACACAATAGTTTTTTTTGCAGTTGGATGTATGAATGAATTGCAAACGATTTTAATTTGAACATTTTATCATTATTGAATATAATGCAACTTTTAATAATTTTTTCACATCAGGGCCAAAAATTAACATTTAATAACTTAAAGAACATTTAATTTAACATACGAACAGCCTACGTACAACTAATTAGCATATTATGATGCGAGCGCGCGAATTAGCATATTATAATGAAAAGAGTTGTGGCTACGTACTTTTTTATGCTCCGTAGTTCGTTGTGTTGATACGCTAGTCTATGGAATGTAAAGAAGTATGCTGCTTGCAACTCTGCGCATCTGATCTTCACAGCTGCCATTGCTGCTGCTGTAGCTTATGATGATGATGATGATGGTGATGATGATATTGATGATGATGATGATGACGCGATGACGATTGCTATGATTATGGCGATGTTGATGACATCATAGCTATAATAATAATAATAATAATAATAATAATTTATTGTTGGGAAAATTATGACGTTTTTTATGATAATGATTATGATGAGGATTTTCTAGTTATGATAATGATTATACGGTGATGATGTGATAATGTTGTAATTAATGATGAAGACGGCGATGAAGACGACGACGACAAATATGCGGAAAGAAGGAAGAAAGGAAGATGCAGCGAATGGATGACGATGATGATGATGACTAAGAGAGGAGAGATGATGAGGATGAGTTAGAAGAGGAAGAAGATGCCGATGCTGCTGTTCCTAATAAAGTATGAAACGCTTCGCGTAGAATTCCACAATCAACATTCACATCATCGTTATCATCGTCACGGCCTTATCATACCATAGTTGTTGTATGACAAGTTTTTTTAACATTTTTAAATCGGTGTCATGATCAGAATCGTGCTGATGACAAAATCATTAACGTTGGTGATGATTTTTCATCATCATCATCATCATTATCGTCATCATCATTATCACCATGATCTCTTTTTATCATCATTATCATCATCTTTGTCATCGTCATAATCAGAATCGTGCTGATGACAAAATCACTAGCGTTTGTGGGGATTTTTCATCATCATCATCATCATTATTGTCATTATCACCAATTATCTCTTTTTATCATCATTATCATCATCTTTGCCATCGTCATCATCATCACCATCATCGTCGCTATTATCACCACCACAGGTATTCACTTCTGATATCAATATGTGAAGTCATTAATTTATATATAATCGAAATTTTATGTATCATGATTGTAATCATTATCATCATTATATCCCAGTTGTAATCATTATCATCATTGTATCATGATTGATGACTATTATTATTTCATCATCAGTGGTTTTTTATTTTAACAGCCTCTTTAATCATCATCATCATAATCATCTTCGCCATCATCATCACCATCATCTTCGCCATCATCATCATTATCATCACCATCATCATCATCATAATCATCTTTGCCATCATCATCATCATCATCATCACCATCATCATCATCATCTTCGCCATCATCATCATCGTCATGGTCATCATCATCCTCATCATCATCGTCATCATCAAAATTACAAACAGCAGAACTTAAACATTTCATAACATGTAAACAAAACATTGCTTGCCATATATATGCACGTGTACACAGTACACACATCCTCTGTTACATCATCATCTGAGTGACATCAACATCATCATCATCATCATCATCATCATCATCATCATCATCATCATCATCATCATCATCATCATCATAGACATCACTATCATCATCATCATTATTTGTTTGTTTTTAACACATGGCCTTTTGGTACATTATATTTTATTATAAAATCAATAATCATCATCATCGTCGTCGGCGGCATCATCACCAGACCTTCAAAGGTGCATAATGATGGTTGATTGTTTAGCATTTTATCATCATCACCACCATCATCTTTGTTATCGACTTCATCATTCTTTCCATCATCATCATCATCACTGACGTCTTCATTACCGTCTTCATAATCTTCGTCACTATCTTCATAATCATCATCATTTCTTCATCTCCTTCAACATCATCATCATCGTCGTCGTCGTCATCATCGTCATCATCATTACTTTAGAGTTGGTTTCAGATATCAACAGATTGCAAAGTTCATAGACATAAATAAAATGTACTGTGTGTGTGTGTGCTATGTGTGGTGTGTATATATGCTGTGTGTGTGTTTGAGTGTGGCGTGTGTTGTATGTGGTGTATGTGCGTGTGTGTGTGCAGAATGTATTAGCAAATATAATTTCGTAATTCTGCATTCTGTTTCAGAATATGCTTGTATGTTTGTTTTTACGTCTGCATGTTTGTATTATAGGTATGTATTATTATTATTATCAAAATGTATGTTTGTATGTATGTATGTTTGTATGTATGCATGCATGTATGTATGTTTGTATGTATGAATGCATCTATGTATGTTTGTATGTATGTTTGTTTGTTTGTGTGTATGTGTTGTGTGTACGTATGTATGTATGTATGTCTATTATTTTTTTAAACGTATGTCTTGTTTCTCTTTTGTTTTTTGTAAGCACACCATTAAAAAAAACAGATGTTCGTTTTGATGGGGGAGCCGATGGAATAAGTTTTTATTCTTTTGTTTTTATTTATTTTTTTTACTAGTCATTATTATTATTATTATTAACAGACGAATTTGTTTTTTAAAATATTTTATTTTTTTTTTTTATTTTTTACTTATTATTATTAACAAACATAATTTTTTTTATAATATTATTATTTATTTATTCGTTATTCAGGTTTTTAATTTCTTTATTTTTATTCTTTGGATTTTTATTAAACTAATTTGCTTGAAATACTTTTGTGAAAATGTCCTTTTAAGAACTGTTATAAACACGTGATGTCATGCTTATCACATCAGGGCACCAATGCAAATAACATTCTTGAAATTGAATATTCAAAACTGTTGTTACTGTCAATTTTACTTAAAATAATCAATCGTCGAGTACTTTATTACTTCGCAAATACTTATTCAAAATTTAATTACATAGAAAACACTGCTGCTGGCTCTTAATATCGTCTGCAAGCTTGTCTATTTCTTCTCATGACTCTGGAAGTGCTCCATCTATGTAGAATATGATAAAAACTTTTGCCTTCTCTTGACGATCTTACTCTTCTCCTTCTTGTTACTTTTTTAGTCTTATATACGATTGATTATTGCAACTCGCTCTACTATGGTCTTCCTGATTCTAGAGTCTATCCTTTAAGTAAAGCTTTTAACTCTGCTGTCCGTCTAGTTGCTCGTGCCCCTTTCTTTTCTCATATATCTCCATATCTTGTTCTCTTGCATTGGCTGCCTATAAAATAAAGAATAATTTTTAAAATCTGCACATTTATGTATAAGTCTCAAGCTAAATTATTTCCTAAGTACTAATCTACCTCCTTCTCTGATTTGATATATTTAACAAATTTATTTTATAGGTAAATAATAATGGGGTAATAATGGTTATTAATTAAAATCTCTGCAGCACATAAACAAAAGAAAAAATATTGTTGTGTTTGATTTCACGACAATTTGTTAAAAAAAATATCTGGTCTGATTCATGAAGTTGATAATTTCTGAACTGGCCAAATTTGTTTCTGATCTGCCATCTATCGAAAGAAGTGGAAATATTTATAAAGGAAGACGCATTGTCGCTTAACCAGCACAATGGCGTCATTTCATCGTTTGACCGCGCAAAGTGATGGGGATGAAGTAAGAATGATGAGGATGATGATGATGACGATGTGGTAGAAATAGCGATGATGATGATGATGATGCGGTGAAAATGATGCTGATGTGAAAAACTATATGGTAAGATGACGATGATGTGATATGATGTTGATGATCTGATTACAATCACAAAGACGACGACGACGATGATGATATAAAAATGCTGATAACGATATGATGATGATGTTACATAAAAATTAAGATGGTGATGATGATGATGATGATGAAACAAAAAATATTCGATATAACATCAACAAACACATCGTCCTGTGTTGAACGACCAGCAGCGTTTGCACACCTCCCAGCCAAACACGTTCCAACAAATTTCTTGCTAAACCTGATGTAAATTAATAAATAATTTCTATGTTCAATAAAAAAAATAAATTATTTTTCTTAAAATTTCGACCAGTCAACAATGAACTCGGTGAACAGCGAACATGAGGAGCGTTCACAAACTGGTAAACATTGCAAACGATAAAACAATAAAAACAGGATGAATGTGATGAAGATTATGTGATAAACATGACGAACATGATGAACATGGTGAACGTGATGAATATGGTTATAATGGATAAACGCGGTGAACATGACGAACATGATGAACATGGTGAACGTGATGAACATGGTTATAATTGTGAACATTTAAACTACGGTGAACTGGACCAAGGGTCGAATTTGAAAGTGATAATGGCCCACCATTATCATATTAATTATAATTTAATTTTCAAGATCAATTGCCTTTTTCAAATTTCAACTCTGAATAAACATTGCAACAACAAAAACAACAACATCAACAAAAACAACAACACAAAGAATGTTGATGTTGTTGTTATGCTGTTGTTGATGAAATTGAAATCATGTCGAAGTTGTTGTTGTTGATTATATGGACAAACATGTTAATGCGTATACAATGTTATTAATAACAGTATTATTATTATTGTTGTTATTATTATTATTGTTGTTGTTGAGTTTTTATGTTGTTGTTGTTGTTTGGTTGATTGATTGGTTGATTGATTTATATTGTTAATAAAAGCTATATCACATCATCATCGTCATCATTGGTGGTAATGGAAACACTTTTTATTATTGAACCTCAAAAATCTAAAATCAAATTTCATAAATATATAAATGATTATAGTCATCAATGCTCATCATTCACATCAGAGTACAAGGATGATAAAAAATGATACAAAAAATTGTTCATGTTTTGTTCCTTTCACAGTATATTGCATACGATGAACTAATTGCAAAATTTGTTAGGTTATCTTTAAAAATGTCTGGCCAAGTTAAATCGATTAATGACAGTTTAAAAGGATTGTAGAAACCTATAGGACTAATCTCTAGGTCATTCTGACGTTGTTTACATATTTTGAGTGCCTGTTTGAAATCGACCTTTTGGATAATGTTGTCTATATTTTTGTTACCATTGGCTGATTCTTCCCACAGACATTTCATTTCATCACCTGCATTAAATCTTAGACCACCACGCAGCTTCATTATTAGTAACCCAGCATGATTTTTCAGTAATCGAATGTTGAGGCCTCCGTTTTTATAAGGCAAAGTCAGAATTTCCGCAACACAACTGCTGACTGGAAGTGAAAGCCAACCTCTTACCGACTCTGTGAATAATAACAATAATAATAATAATAATGGGAACAACCTTTTATTGACCAAATTTGACCAAAAAGATAAAATCAAAATGAAATCAATCGAAAATTATTAATAATATATAAGAGTGTAAATAAATAAATGTAAATAATAAAATTTTATAAATTTTATAATAAAAAAAGAAAATCCATTAAAACTAATAATAATAATAATAATAATAATATTAATAATAATTGTAATATTATAATTGTTATTAAAGTTGTTATTAATGTTGTTATTGATGTAGATATTGAACGTTTGATATGTTTTTTAGAGTAAAGATATGAACGCTGGGGAAGATGTCGCTCCTCTCAAAAATATTCAAATGTATGTTACATGTTGCATGATGCTGACGAGTCAGATGACGCTAACGATGTTGCTGATGCCTGCTTTTGATGTCATGTTGTTGATGTAAAATATATTTATTGTTATGCGTTACACTTCGTGACATTAATAACATTAATGATTTGGTTTTTGTTGGCATTGTAAATATTATGGACGTGCGGATTGGTATTAATGTTGATGGCATTAATGTTTCGCATGTAAGAATGTTATTGAGATTTGAACATTAAGTATAATTAAATCTTGTAACTATTTTTGTCCGTGATAATATTACAGTTTTAATGTCATTAAGGATGAGAAATGTTATTTTTTACTGTCATGTAGCATGTGCTTAAGTAAAGTTGGTTGGTTGAATGTTGCACAAATTTTACGTAGAAGACTTAATTTACTTGCTTTACATGAATTCCAACATTCATTCACCCATGCCAAAACCGTTTCCATAATTTAATTTGTTTACCCTCAATTTGAAAAATTATCTCAATTCACTTTTTTCAAAGTTGTTTAAAATAATTTTTATCTATTTTTAGTTACGATGCTGACGTATTTTTTAAAATTATTAATTTTTATATTTTTTTTAACAATCTCGTTTGCACTCATTGCAGCAAGATGTCGTTAGCAAGTTATCACCTTCAATAACGTCAAATCGGTATGTCTCATCACGTCCCAGTATGTTTCAGTAGTTCTCAGCATATCTCACGTTTGTGGTCACGCATTGATCTGGTTCGAATACGGTCGATACAAAACTCAAAATATATTGCATGTCGACTGCGTATAAATGGTTGTTTGTTGCGCGTACATGTAAATGGTCAGCAGTTGGTCTTATTAATAGCAGTTGCATGGCATTTGCGGTGCAGTAGTTTGATTGTGTGCAACCAGTTTGGCGAGAAAGTTCATGCAAGTTTATGACAGTTGCTGATTTAAAAGTCGGAAAATAGTTCTTTTACACAAATTTTTGTTAATGTTTTTACTTGAAGGTACATTGATCGGAGTTGTCGTCACTAAATAAAAATATATTATGTGAAAGCTCCGAAGCTTTTGATAGCGTGAAACACGCGGAACATATGGAAATATTGGAAAATTTGGACAGCGGTGGAAAAGACACGAGAGTTATCTAAAACCTCTATTGAGACCAAAGAGCAGCGATGAAAGTTGGTATCAAAATGACTAGTTTTGTCGAATTAAAGAAACGTGTTAGGCAAGAATGTGTATTTTCTCCGGATCGGTACAATCTCTATAGTGAGATCATTATGAAAAAGATAGAAGATCTACTTTGAATATCCATTGGAAGCGAGAATATAAACAAGCTCTTATAGCAAGTTCAATAGAAAAACTGGTTTTTGAAAGAAAAGACTTGCAAATTAACATCAACAAAATAGAGTGCATGGTTATCAGTAAAAGCAAAACCACCCCGATCTGTTCCATAATTACTAATGGTAAACGCGTGAAACAAGTCAACAGCTTCAATTATCTCGAGTCTGATTACCTTAGATTGTAAATTTGATATGGATATCAAACGAAGGTTAGCTATAGCAAAAGATGCCTATTCTAAAATGAAAAACATCCTCACCAACAGTAAAACTAGAATATCAACAAAATTAAAACTGGTAGGGTGTTACATTTTTCCTGTGCTCACTCACGGTTCTGAGTCCTGGACAGTTTCTAAAGAAATGGAGAAAATGATTGATGCTGCTGGAATGTGGTTTTTGAGAAGAATTATGAAAGTTAGTTGGACCTCACATACTTCAAATGAGGATGTATTAATACAGTCCGGTTATGAAGTCACATCATGCGGCAGGAAGGGATGGAACAACCACTGGATAGATTGCATGGAAAAGAGATCGCGGACAACAACAAATAACATTCAGGAAATCCTTTTGTCACTTGTTGAAAATCACCACATTTCAACTACTACAAATTGTTTAAAGATCGGGTTTTGTGGAGGTCGATGGTCACCAATGTCCTAAAAAGATGAGGCACGAGAAAGAAGAAGATTATGTGAAAAACTCAATAAATGACCACGAATAATAAATAGCAATATCTTATTTTCAGTCATTTTTAGATTTTTTATTGCATGTTATTTAAGTATTATTGGCGACGTACTCTTTAACTACATCTATAAGAAGGTGCCTCATAAAAATGTCTGCCTTATAAAATTGATTTATAGGTTAACAAACATATGTTTAGACATGAAAGAAATACGTCATTGTAATCCCAAAGCAGGCCTTGGTAGCAAACAATCTCAGAGCAAACACAACAAATTGTTTCGTGACTGGTTTGTATGTAGGCCAACTTTTAATGTAATCTTTTTTAAAAAATATATCAATTCAACATAGTTAAAAATATTGTCAAAAAATTGTTACCAAATACCAACAAAACAATTAATAATTGCAATAGGCCGGCTTAATGTTGTATTGTATATATCAAGTTTAAATTCACTTTCGAATTTATTTTTTAAAAGTTCAACCCCGTAAAAACTAAACTTTGTTATTTACTTTTGTTTTTAAAATATTTTCATTCCAATCGATCTTTCAATTTTTTAATATCTCAATCGACAAACCTGTAAAAAAATTAATTGTTAAAAACATGGTTGGAACATGCACTAGTTAGAGTTTATTTTCTCTCACTTCTAGATAAAATTTCATTCTCTTGACTTAGATTTTATTTCAGAATTTCGTGTAGTTTCTTTTAGTTTTGTTTTACAAATCATATTAGTAGTTCTCACTCTCAATTTTCTAGTTTTGGTATTAATTTAGAAATATTGAAAAATTTAAATTTTTTCGTTTTACTTAAGCAAGCAAAGCATTTTTATAACCGGTCAAATAGGTATAAAACTATGGAAAAATTTAAAAGCCATTAATTGACAAACAGTCATTTTTGGGATGATTTGGTCTTATGAGTTTTAAATTTACCAAATAAGCAACTAATTATTTTTTAAACTCACCGTCTTACATAAGTACTTGTGTCTGCTTTATTTTTCTTGTCCGACACACGAAATAATCCAACGCTAAACATACAATCTTCATCATGAAACCGGCAAGACCTTAAATCTCCATATGTGAAAAGTAGCCTATTACTCAAATCCAGACCACTAAATGATCCATATTTCAATTCCAGTTGTTTACATTGTACGACTACATTCACCAAAGTTGTTCTGCAAATATCCTAACATTTCTCTGTATAAAAATGACTACCATGACTACAACAACAACAACAACAACAACAACAACAACAACAACAACATACTACTACTCCTACCACTGCTATAACTATTACTACTACCACTGCTACTACTACTACTACCACTGCTACTACTACTACTACTACTGCTACTATGACTACCACTGCTACTACTACTACTACTACTACCACTGCTACTACTACTACTACTACCACTGCTACAAAACAACAACTACAGCAACAAAAACAACAACAACAACAACAAAAATATTAATAATAAAGTAAACACACCGAAATTACATTATACATACATACATACATATCAACATATTTGGTCTTAGGCCATGATATAATATAAATATACGAATATACGTGTGAGTGTTTACCAGAATATTAATTCGGCTCTCACAATGAAGATCATTTTTGAAGATAAAAAAAGTATTATTATTTGAATGCTTTTTACTTTTGATTAAAAATTTAATAAATATTTTTTTTCAATCATATTCATTTTACATATAGAGACACACACATACACACAGACAAACACATTAAACACACAGACACACACTACACACACTACACACACTACACACACACATACATAAAATTATTGTTTACACCGTCGATCCTAAAAATGCAATTGCTTCTTTTGCAATTAAAACTACTATTACTCTTACTGCTACGACTACTACTACTACTACTACTACTACTGCTACTACTACTACTACTACTACTACTGCTACTACTACTACTACTACTACTGTTTCTGCTGCTATTACTACTGTTACTGCTACTACTACTACTACTGCTGCTGCTGCTACTACTACTACTACTGCTGCTACTAAAACTACTACTATTACTACTAAACTATGTAGTTTATGAAGCTCTGCCACACATTTATTTTTAAATTCTAGACTGTCAATGCTGAAGTTACAGTGAAGTATTAATTGCAATTACTGCCATCAGAAACAAACAAAAATGGTGGTTCTCAACGAATTCTTGCATGCCATTTGATAAGTTGGCTGGGTATTTGTCTGGCGTCAATAACAACAACAACACAAAAACATTACAACGACATGAAAGAAAGTGACGCTAGAACTGAAAGTAAATCCTTCGTACAATATCTCCGCAACAACAAGAGGGTCTAATGAAATTTTGTTGTATCTTATACTCTAGCAAAAATAAAACTTTATTTAAGAGATTGTAAGACGAAACCGTTGGCGTAAACAATGAAACATTTATTTCTCAAATTTTAATTCTCATCATAATAAGATGTTGATATCATATTCGTCCGTGTGACACGAGAACACGAAAACTGAATTAAAACTATTGCTTGGGAGAAAATGAATGCGTGGGTTTGTTTGTGTATGTTTGTATGTGTTTGTGTTTGTGTGTGTGTGAGTGAGTGAGTGAGTGAGCGATGCTAATGTTTGATTCTTTATCGACAATAATAATAAGAACAACAATAATAATAATAACAAAAATAATAATAACAATAGTAACAACACCTAATAACAACAATAACAATAATAACAACACAGAACGCCTTGAAAACAATCTAAAATTTAAAAACTTAATAAAGAATGAAATTTTGATAGCTGTCTCACACTATTTTTATTTGAAGTAAAGGGATGTAAATGGCAGGAAAAAGATTCTCTCACTCAATCGCTCACTCGCTCGCTCACTCACTCACTCACTCACTCACTCACTCACTCACTCACTCACTCACTCACTCACTCACTCACTCACTCACTCACTCACTCACTCACTCACTCACTCACTCACTCACTCACTCAATAACTTACTCAACCACTAAATCACTCATTCCAACGTCACGTGCTTCTATGTTGGTCTGCTCCTTTTAAACGTCCAGTGAAGGAATGGTTGGATGGATGG